ACACAAAGCTAACAGCAGCTCGAAAAACCTAATTGTTGAAAATTTATCTTTCAACACTGCTTGGACAACATGATATATCATATTTAAACAATAGTTAAGGCCCTAAGAATACTCAGCTATATTCACTTAAACTATGACTTATTTTTATTTATTTACTTTTATTATTGGTTTTATTTTATTTTTGGTTATGATTTCATCCATGTAATTGAACAAATCATTTGCATGTAAAAAGTGTTATGTTTCCTTTGGTTTCTTACCATCTTAATAATAAGAATATATATATATATATATATATATATATATATATATATATATATATATATATTTATTTATTTAATTTAAAAAATACCATCTTAATAATAAGAGTGAGTAAACTTTCTAGAAATTACCCTATATACTTTGTCCACATGGTATGTAATTTTCGAGTAGTAGGTGGTGGAATCAAAACAATTTTCGAGTACTAAATGACTTAAATATCTTTTATAATTATATTTTTGTGAATTGAATAGAGGGCAACGATGTCCTTTCAAATTAAATGTAGTCATATTTTTAAGTCTTTAACTTGAGTACATCAATTACAACAATTTCATCTCAAAAACTTACTTTGGGGTATTTCGTGTTCTCGATGTAAGTAAAAAAATTCAGATTTGAAAAAGAAATTATGTTGCTTTTTAATTGCCAATTTTAGTCCACTTACCTTGCAGTAGCATAATTCAATTAAGGAAAAGAAAGAAATTAGACTAAGGAAACATGACAAATTATTCATTATTTTTTTAAAAGTAATTAACTGTTATTATGACGGCTAAAGATCAAGTGCACTGAAGTAAATCTTGAGCTGCTTAATTTTTCCATCGCCAACGCCATGGTGGGTTTTCTCGCTCCTGTGCGGTTGGACTAAATTTTATTTTTTTTAATTATATATAGCTTAAATATGATTTTATTGACTTTCCATTTTTTGTTTTTTTTTTTTTTTGAAAATTTTCTTTGCTGCTTCACATACCTTACTTGATGGAGCGAGAGAAAGAGAAAATAAATAAATAAATAAATTGTCTGAAGAATAATATGTTAGAGGTAATTTCATCCGAAATTTTTTCTCAAACAATCACTTAAACGGACATCAATTAAAATTAAAAACACTCTCCCGAGATAATTGAGGGGAATTTTTTGCAAAAAATATTTATAAGGGGGGTTTTTCGTAACTGACTAATAGTCGAGGGGGATTTTTTGCAATTCGCTCAAAAAATAATTAGCACAGCTGAATTTTTTTTCATTATTTATTTTCTTTAGATATTTCACTTACTTTCTCTTAGTATTATACTAACATATGTAAGTTATAGTTAAATTAAGAAGGCAGATAAATTCAAAAATGAATAGATGATTCCATTCCTATATATATATATGTTATATATCTACGCACTTGTGTGAATTACCCTATTGAAGGAGAAGTGAGAATCAACATTAAATTATGTTTGTCTCTCTAATTTTATTTAAGAGAAAGATGACTCAAAATATAATATAATATTTTTTAAAGTGAAATATGTATTTATCTAATTATTCACACATAAAAATTAGTTCAAAGAATTATGGTTCTAGATTCGAGAAAGAGTTAACTTTTAAAACGGTTGCGAAAGAGTTCTAAACAAAATTGATTTCAGAATACACAATCAATTTTAAAATACACAAGATTAAATTATCATATCATCCGTCACAAAATTGGTCACCATATGGTATAAGGACAATATTCTCTTGTTTTTTCTTAAGTTCTTAGAGCATCTCCAATGTTAAATGACATTTCGGGCTGCCAAATCTATATTTTGAGAGGAACTGTAGTGTCAAAATACTATATTTTAGCAATTTTGCTCAAATGGTGCATTTCATCCAAAATACTATATTTTAGCAATTCTCACCCTCTATTAAACCAAGTCCAACCCACTTCTAGCTTTCCAATTCTTCTTTAACTCTGACCGTTAATTTCGAAATTACCTTCCCATCTTAACCATTCATTGCATTATGTCCCACATAATATTTTTAGGGCAAATCATTTCAACCTCCCGAATCGCCTCCATCTTTATTCTTGTTCTTGACTCTGAACTTCTAGATTGGTCCAAGATCTCCCACCAGATGAGCCTAGCCACCTCTACTGTTGACCTTGATAGACTCTCATGCCTCGTTGTTCTATTGAGGGTAGAAAGAGAGAGAAAGAAGAGGCGATGTTTGTGGACTGGTGTTGGGGTAGACGCAAAGATGAGAAAGAAGGTAGGTGGGTGTGGGTCTTGAGGTGGCACGCAGAGGGACTAAGAGGCTTATTGCATACACAACACCTTCTTCTTGTTCATGTTCTTCTCTCCTTCTGATGCTCCTTTTCTCATGGCCTTTTGTAGGTGATCTGAAAGCCTTCTTCACTTGACTCAATCCTCTCTCTCTCTCTGCAATTGCAAAACTATAAAATCTACAAGAATCAGAAGTTCAAAACCCATATATTTCAGTTTATCTATTTGTTTGCAAGAATCAAAAATTCAAAACCCATATCGGCATATCATTTCAGATTGTTCAAAAAATCAAAACCCATATCTTTCATTTTCAATCACCCGCTGTTCCAGTTCGGGTTTGCTGTTCGCAAGCTTCAGCCGCTATCTCTCAACTCTTAAGCTTGCCCCCCTCCTTTCTCTGCAACTGCTAACTCTCAAGTCGGATCTGTAAATGCCATCTTCGACCATGGAGAAATTGAAATCATTGAATTGAGAGAGAGAGATTGAAGTCAGATTTTGTATTGAGAGTTAGATATACAAACATACATATATATATAAAGAGAGAGATTGAAGTCAGATTGGGGACAGGAACGTAATGGACAGAGATGCCGTTCCAAACGACGTCGTACAGAGAAAGAGAGAAGGCCTGCCAAAAAAATTAGCAGCTCTTATATTTGAGAAAAAATTTGCCATTCTCAAAATTTGAGAGTCCAAATAAAAACTCATTGGAAAATCCATTTTTTACGCCTCTCTCAAATTTTGAATTTAGTAACCTAAATAAAAGGTGCATCGGAGATGTTCTTAAAAATCAAACCGAAAAATAACTACTCCACTGGATGATGTAGTTGGTAATTGGCCATCATTCCAGAGTAAATGTGGGCCTCAGGGCTACTAGCCGATTAATGTAACCCACCCTATTTCTGGATCTACTCTCCATTCACCACAGGACCACAAGGTTGGATTCAGATGGAGGTTACCTCAAATGACGAGGAATGACATCCTAGGGTCAGTTTTACCGGTAATTGGGGAAAGCTTTTTTCTTGCAATTATAACTCATTATTCTTACGTGTTACAGTAAAACTTGATCAATTAAATATATAGTTAATTACATTATATTCGTCATATATTAATCTACCTATAATATATAGATAGTCAGATATATATATATATTTAGATAGTCATATATTAATCTACTTACAATGTATAGATAAAGCGTTTGCTCGTAAAATGTTTTTTGTATTCTTATTTAATTTAATAAAAAAAAAATCAAATCAAAAGAATTAAATCTTAGCAAATGTTGTTTTTAAGAAAGTTTAATTGTAGTTGATTGATTTATCCACGTGGTCGGCTGAAATTGAAAAGTATGGGTATCGAATACTTTTCCGTTGCGGTGGTAAAAATCGTCAGTCGTCATCACCGTCTGGACACATCACCGTTTTGACACAATTGTCATAATAAAAGATATTTCTAAAGTCTTCCACGTGTAAAGAATACTTTTATTTTACACCGGCGCGCCCGTGACCTCTTGCACTTCTGTGTCCTGACACGCGACGCGTATTAGGACATATAAATCTTTATGCTCCTGTGCCTCGGATTGGACTTGGGAATTGATTATTTGTCCTTTTAAATAAAAAAAATAAAATTAAAAAGGATGTTTGATGTTCAGAGATGGTGGTAAAGTGAAAAAATGATCAAAATCCTCGTAAATGAACCCCACAAGGAGAGGTAGGGTTGTTTACCTCTAACCCTCTCCAGAGACGCTATAAAAAATGCGAAGTGGGAGCATATAACACATAGTTACAATAGGTGATTTGTCATACATATATACATATATATATATATATATATATAATTACAAGAGGTGATTTGTCACACACACCCACATATATATGTGTATATATATAGTATCGGAATTAGTTTCAATTCTTAATCCAACGTCAAGCAAAACATTTCATTTGAAATCCTTTCGGGTGAGCCACCCTGCTAGGTAAGGTGACCCGACCATAACGCGGGTGGGTATGAAGTACTACCTAATAATTTAAGTATTTGAATAAATGAACAAACGTTTACTTGTTACACAACTATGATGTATACTAAAAAAATAAAAATAATTTTCATTTTAATAAAAATTAATTATAGTTACTAACTAATTAATTTTTAACTAATTCATTATAAGTTCAAAATTTCATTAGAATATTACCTTTTTTTAGAAAAAAAAAAAACTAAATACTACTTATGTTAGAAGGGTAATATTATGCTTGGAAGTACTTTAAATATGATATAAAAAGAAAGTTAACATTTTAAACTAAATATTCTTTATTGCACCGATTTGCTACCAAAAGTTTTTGATTGATTATTTACATACATATGGAGAGTTTTATTCCATTTTATTTATTTACAGTATAGATGAACTAATTAAAAAAAATTAGTATAATAATTTAGTGCAACAAATCAATACAAATATTATTTTTTAAAATTTTAACCTAAACTTTATCTCTAATTCTAAATTTAAGACACCTACCAAATATAACATTTTCCAAATATAAATTATAAGATAGTTGTGCTAAAAAAAAAAAAAAAAAAAAAAAAAATTAGATACTCCGGTAGTTGATTAGAGTACCCCCATTCCCCGAGGAAGTATGAAGCTCACACTCACACGCCTTCTTTTTTTTATCCAATAAAACAATTACTTAATGTTTTACAATAAATTGCATGACAACAGATCTATCATATGTATCCCACTCATCTTTTTAAGAAAAAAAAAAAAAAAAAATGATAAAAAGGAAAACTTTTAGATTATTAACTGCGAAAAAAGCTGATGAGACACCAAGAAGAATACAAAAGAGAGAGAGAATTTGTTCTCACTTCTCGCTCTGCTGCACCTCTGGTCCGGCTGTGCGTGCTTCTGTTCCTCAACTTTATAGCTTTTAATCGTGGTGGTTCTCTCTCGTCTCTAATCAAGTTCAATGGCAAAAGAAAAAGAGAGGAACACGTTTGTAGGGGTTGCTTGGAACTGTGCTGCAGAGCTCAAATTCCTGATAACAGCTTTTCTCTTCCTCTGTTCCTTGGCCACTGTTGTTCAGTTCCTTCCCTCTCGTTTCTCTCTCTCAGCCTCCGATCTCCACGATTGTCTCTCGCGACCCTCTACACCCGCCAACAAGGCGGCGGCCATTGATGTGGATGCGGTGGTGGTGGGGACAGCCTCACCGCCCATTCCTGATCCCGTCCAACGATTTGATGATCAGGTCCTCGATGGAGGCATCATCAAGCGGGCCTTCAACCCCTACGGAGCGGCCGCATACAACTTCATCCTGATGAGCGCTTACAGAGGCGGACTCAACACCTTCGCCGTCGTCGGCTTAGCTTCCAAGCCTCTCCACGTCTTCGGCAGGCCAACGTACCAATGCGAGTGGGTACCCCATCTCGGCAGCACCCAAGGGTCAAGTACCACCACCGTCGGTCGCAAGATCCTTCCAGATTGGGGTTACGGCCGCGTTTACACCGTCGTCGTGGTGAATTGCACCTTCCCAGATGCCGTCGGCCATGACGGTTCAGGCGGACAATTAGTCCTTCACGCATCCACCAACGGCGGCGGAGATCGGGAATTCAATCTGACGGACAGGATCGAAGCTCTGACGGAAGCACCCGGAAGCTTAAACGCTTCGTACTACACATCACCACCAAAATATGATTTCTTGTATTGCGGGTCGCCGTTGTACGGGAACTTGAGTCCCCAGAGGGTGAGGGAGTGGTTGGCGTACCACGTGAGGCTGTTCGGCGAGAAGTCACATTTCGTGATACACGACGCAGGGGGAGTGCATTCAGGGGTGATGGAGGTGTTGAGGCCATGGATGGAAAAGGGTTACGTGACCTTGCACGACATCAGAGACCAAGAACGCTTCGATGGCTACTACCACAATCAGTTCCTTGCGGTGAATGACTGTCTGCATCGTTACCGATTCATGGCTAAATGGATGTTTTTCTTCGACCTTGATGAGTATATTTTTGTTCCCCCCAAAAATACTATCAGATCGGTTCTAGATTCGCTCATGGACTATACCCAGTTCACCATGGAACAGATGACCATGTCTAACAGGCTCTGCCTCTCCGAAGATGCCGGTAAAACTTTCAGGTATTATTATTATTTTTTTTTAGAAATGGAGTTTTTTTAGTGTCTAATTTTGCAATATTAATCCAACAATTGAGAAATTTGTCATAATAACTGTTAAATTTGGCTAAGATTGAGATTTATTTATTTATTAGGCATATATAGGGAAAATTTAACATCTGTAAAATTCATTGTCACTGATAGAATAGTTTTTTTTTTTAACATGTTGATTTTCCAGATATCTCGGCTTGCCAAAACTTTGTGGAAACAAATAATTGCTTTCATCTTCTATGTTCCACATTTTAGTTGTATTATAGAGTGAATTAGGGCGTCTAAGTGAAGAAGGCCTATATACTGTTTAGGTTGAAATTGACCCATAGCAACTCCTGCTGCCGAGCGAATTATGAGTTGTTAATATAATTAACTCGCCCTCATGGGTATGGGTAGTTTCCAGGCGGCGTTGCATTCATGTACGCACAGTGTGATAGGATCTATCTAAATGTAGTAGAATCCACAATGCTGCTGTGTCAATTTAGATGATTCTTTAATTTTTATGTGGACCACTGGAAGTGGGTGGGTTAGAACTTGTTACCAAGTGAATTTATTAATATGTGAGGTGTTTTAATTTTACTTTTTCCATTGTACTTCTGTGATTCATCGTGGTTCAACTATTGTAGTGAGGAATTCGAATTGCTCATTGAATTGTCATGAGCCACTTCAAGCATTATTCGTAATCTTTCCAGCCAGTTATCTTTCCACTTCAAGCATCATTGACTGGCTGCTCATCCAGTTTATCTAGCTCTTTGGTAGCCAGGCAATTTGTTGAATGTGGAATTATTTAACTGCATAGCGCCAATTGATTTTAGCAATTCACTAGGTTCTTGGTAATGGGTGTTGGTTACATATTATAGTGATGTTATTGCAGGAAATGGGGATTTGAGAAGCTAGTGTACAGGGATGTAAAGAGAGGAATCAGGAGGGACCGTAAGTATGCAGTGCAACCACGGAATGTGTTTGCAACAGGGGTGCACTTGTCACAGAACATATTGGGCAAGACAACACATAAGACAGATGGACGCATAAAGTACTTCCATTATCATGGGACCCTAGCTGAACGGCGTGAACCGTGCCAGCAGCTAGTCAATACAACAGATATCACCGTCGAAGGAATCCCTTATGTCATGGACACCACAATGCGGGTTGCTGCTGGATCTGTGAAGAGATTTGAACTTAAAATGATTGGGTCGAGATTGTAAACAACGCGGCAACGACAGGTTAATTATTTTGTTTTTCCTTTCATTTTTTTTTCAAGTTTTTAATCCACAGTCAGTAGTGGGAATTTTTCATTGTTTTTTGTTGTTGTTTTTTTGGATGTATAATAGATATAGATATAGATATAGATAGACACAGGTGGTATATGAGGTTTGTATAAAAGAAGTTACAGATTGTATTCATTGAATTATTCTCTTGTTTTAATGGTTGATTCATTTTATTTTTGTCGGTGTTAGGGACCACTGATTGCACCATTCAGAGGAACAGGGGTGGTTGATACCTGGGGAGGGCGGTGGTTGCATTCTCCTTTGTTATAGTTTTATTCCTTAATTTTAATGATTGATTGGTTCTCATTTTTTTAATTAATTCATTAATGACTCTCACCAAACAAAGTAGGTACTGAGGAAAGGTTATATATGTAATTTTACACTTCTACATCAATTATTAGTACTGTTATATTTTGAAAAAGTGACAGCCTGTTGCCTTTTTTGACAAGTTAAACATGGCAAGGGTCCTTGCTAATGTCAAGTCTCTTAACGAATGTCATGTGGTTGACGGATTATAAAAGAAAGGGAAGAAACAGAAGATATAAGACAGAAGAACCCTTGGTCATGGGTCTTGTTTCTGTTAATTTTTGTAATGGTTTAGGTGTTCCCTTAGAGTTGTACATTCACTGGGCTGACTGGTTGTTGGGCTGCTTGGGTCAATGGCCTTGAAAATTTGTTCATATATATATGTATATTTATTTATACATATATAGTGTAAACTACTATTATTGGGAAAATAAGCGAAAACAACAATGAATGTAAAAATAACATTTTTCTGTCTTCCTGTGATTAAAATAGGATGTCTGTTTCAATCAACTAAGCTGAAGCAAAATAAATAATAATAATCATCCACAAAGTAACACCAAGATATACGTGAAAAAAAAAATCGCTAAGGAAAAAAATAAGAAATCACAAGGATTGAAGTCTGATTTCAACTTTCACTATGCAATAATAATGGGGTACAAAAGTTTACTTTCACTATTACATAAGATTGTTACAAACAAGGCTCCAGGTTTGATGGTTCAAATTATGACTCATGGAAAACTAGGATGGAGGCATTTTTAATGTCACAATCTTATGAGGTTTGGCAAGCTACTACAATTGGTTTCACCATCACTGATGTAGTTGAACCTACAACAAGCTGATCAAAGTAGCTTTGTCAAATGATGGAAGGGCCAAACATGCTTTATTCTGTGCACTCAAGCAACAAGAATTCAGAAGGATAAAAAATTTCAAAACAGCTAAAGAAATGTGGAATTCTCTCAAGGCTGCTCGTTAAGGAAACAATGTGATCAAGGAAAACAAGATCCAAATTCTTAAAGTTCAATATGAAAGCTGCAAAATGAAAGAAACAAAAGTTGTTTCAGAGTACTTGTTCAAGATCAATGAAATTGACAACAACATCAAGGCTTTTGGTGAAGATATGAAGGACTCTGATGTGTGTAAGAAGATTCTCAGGTCTTTAACTCCTAGGTTCAATGTAAAGGTCACCATTCTTGAAAATAAGGACATGTCTCAGATGAAGATTGATGATTTACAAGCTTCACTCACTGTTTATGAAATGAGAATTAGGATTCTTACTTAACACAGAAGAGAAGCAACTCGAAAAGCCCAAGAAGTTGTTAAAGACACTACAAAAAAATATGATGATGATGATTTTGTGTTTGTTGTGATTATACTCAATAATATGACATAAAATAAGCAAAATAAAGTAAACTGAGCTCAGAGGGAGAAGTACTTGGGAATTGATTTCACCATGAACCTCTCAATATGGTCAACTGATTCAACTTCAGGGGTTTCAGTATTTTATGTTAATTAGGAATTAAACGAATTAACATTCTATTTAATTCAATTTGAAAAAGATAAATTATGAATGTTTATTAAGAATAACCTATCTTCGGTTTGCACGAATTATCTACCTACCTACTTTAAACTAATTTGCAGAATAATTTATCTTCCCTAAGCACAAACTATAAAAACATTCATCCATAAAAACAGTTTAAGAACCATTGCATGATCACTATTCTTATTGTCATGAGAAGCCATTAGCCGCCAGTATTTTATAAAAGAAAACTGACTTCTATTCCCTTATGGATGGACTTTAAGATTTTTTGAGTCATCTGGGCCCATCTAGGGTCAAAAAGGCTAATTAAAGAAAAATCCCGTAATCAATTTTAATTCCAGCATGAGGGTGCTCGACCACCCTAGCAACCATTTTCCTTGGTTTCTGGGTTTCGGGATTAGGGTTTAGGGTTTTGGGGATTTGGGGTCTACGATTTATGGTTTTTTAGGGTTTAGAGTTTAGGGTTCAGGGTTTCAGAGCTTTGAGGTTTGAGGTTTGTGGTTTGGTGTTTAGGGTTAGGAGTTTATGGG